AAATGATCCCGGCCGTTTACTTTCTGTCCATATAATGCATACAGCTCTGGTTGCTGGTTGGGCCGGTTCGATGGCTTTATATGAATTAGCAGTTTTTGATCCCTCTGACCCGGTTCTTGACCCAATGTGGAGACAGGGTATGTTCGTTATACCCTTCATGACTCGTTTAGGAATAACCAATTCGTGGGGTGGTTGGAATATCACAGGAGGCACTATAACGAATCCGGGTATTTGGAGTTACGAAGGTGTGGCCGCGGCACATATTGTGTTTTCGGGCTTGTGCTTTTTGGCGGCTATTTGGCATTGGGTCTATTGGGATCTAGAAATCTTTTGTGATGAACGTACTGGAAAACCTTCTTTGGATTTACCAAAAATATTTGGAATTCATTTATTTCTTGCAGGGGTGGCGTGTTTTGGTTTTGGCGCCTTTCATGTAACAGGATTATTTGGTCCTGGAATATGGATATCCGATCCTTATGGACTAACAGGAAGGGTACAATCTGTAAATCCCGCATGGGGTGTGGACGGTTTTGATCCTTTTGTTCCGGGGGGAATAGCCTCTCATCATATTGCAGCAGGGACATTGGGCATATTAGCGGGTCTTTTCCATCTTAGTGTGCGTCCACCTCAACGTTTATACAAAGGATTGCGTATGGGAAATATTGAAACCGTCCTTTCCAGTAGTATCGCTGCTGTATTTTTTGCAGCTTTTGTTGTTGCTGGAACTATGTGGTATGGTTCAGCAACTACCCCGATTGAATTATTTGGTCCTACTCGTTATCAATGGGATCAGGGATACTTCCAGCAAGAAATATATCGAAGAGTTGGTGCTGGGCTAGTCAAAAATCAAAGTTTATCAGAAGCTTGGTCTAAAATTCCTGAAAAATTAGCTTTTTATGATTACATCGGTAATAATCCGGCAAAAGGGGGTTTGTTTAGAGCGGGCTCAATGGACAATGGAGATGGAATAGCGGTTGGTTGGTTAGGGCATCCTATCTTTAGAGACAAAGAGGGGCGTGAACTTTTTGTACGTCGTATGCCTACTTTTTTTGAAACATTTCCGGTTGTTTTGGTAGACGGAGACGGAATTGTTAGAGCGGATGTTCCTTTTCGAAGGGCAGAATCAAAGTATAGTGTCGAACAAGTCGGTGTAATTGTTGAATTCTATGGTGGTGAACTCAATGGAGTCAGTTATAGTGATCCTGCTACTGTGAAAAAATATGCTCGACGTGCTCAATTGGGTGAAATTTTTGAATTAGATCGTGCTACTTTAAAATCAGATGGTGTTTTTCGTAGCAGTCCAAGGGGTTGGTTTACTTTTGGACATGCTTCGTTTGCTCTGCTCTTCTTTTTCGGGCACATTTGGCATGGTGCTAGAACCTTGTTCAGAGATGTTTTTGCTGGTATTGATCCAGATTTGGATGCGCAAGTAGAATTTGGAGCATTCCAAAAACTTGGAGATCCAACTACAAAAAAACAGGGAGTCTGATAGAAATAGGTTTGTTCCTTTTCGATTCGACTTTTTTTGTTGTTATTTGAATTTGATATAGGGAACTAGAGAAATATTGATTTCAATCATTCCATTTTGTTTTACTCTGGTTCTTTCTTTTTCTTTATCCAGGAGATAATTCCCCCAAAACAGGTATGAAAGCTATAATTGTAAACCACGATCAAATCTATGGAAGCATTGGTTTATACATTCCTCTTAGTCTCGACTTTAGGAATCATTTTTTTCGCTATTTTTTTTAGAGAACCCCCTCAAGTTCCAACTAAAAACACAAAATGATTTTTAATTATCTCAATTGAAGTAACGAGCCTCCAATATTACGATATTGGGGGCTCATTACTTCAACTAGTCCCCATGTTCTTCGAATGGATCTCTTAGTTGTTGAGAGGGTTGCCCAAAAGCAGTATATAAGGCATACCCAGTAAAACTTACAATTAAACCGGATATAGAGATGGCAATTAGGGTTGCTGTTTCCATGATTATAGAATATCAAGACTACAATGGATCTATAGGGTACGATCCTTTATCTACAGCGGAATGGTATACAAAGTCAACAGATCTCAATAAAAAAAAGATATATAGGATTTATGGCTACACAAACCGTTGAGGGTAGTTCTAGATCTGGTCCAAGACGAACTGTTGTAGGAGATTTATTGAAACCATTGAATTCAGAATATGGTAAAGTAGCTCCGGGGTGGGGAACTACCCCTTTGATGGGGATTGCAATGGCCCTATTTGCGGTATTTCTCTCTATTATTTTAGAGATTTATAATTCGTCCCTTTTACTGGACCAAATTTCTATGAATTAGAGAATTAGATTCACAAGAACCAACTAACTAGCTTTTCAATCGAAAAGTCAAGTTTAGCATTTAAATCGTTAATTTTTAGCCCATTCCATTTTGATTTGGTAGTTCGACCGCGAAACTTCTTTGTTTCTGTATTTCCGGAATATGAGTGTGTGACTTGTTATAATGGATCCTATTGATAGTACAGAACAGAAAATGGATACGTCATCTTATCTTGATAGATGGCTTTCCCCCGTCAGATATTTATTCTAGTATCTGGAGCACGGAATATAGAAAATAAATAGATTCTAAAGTGTTAGAACTATGATTCATACTTCATATTTATATTGATATTTAGACCTCGCAACCGGACGAAAAAAAATGAAAGAATTATAAGAATTCATTTAGAAAAAGAAATGGAATTTTATTCTTTAAAACTGCCACCGCTTATCATTTCTTTGTCTTTTTTTTTTTCATTCTATCTATTAATTGAATAAATGATGATCCAGCAGTTCTTACTCAGGGAATTTATGGACTTCGATTAAAGGTTTTTTGGGGAAATCATCGTGGTTCTGGTATGAATCTCAGGTTTTTAAATTGATTCTATAGGGTCTTAACAAGAAAATTCTTATTAATCATAAAAAAAAACAGCAGTAAAATCTTATTACATACACAATACAAAAAAAATGAAGTAAATAATAGAATATTCAAGAGGCCGGTAAGGATCAAGAGAAAAGACGAGTGAGCCGACTTGAAATTTTGACATTATAAACACTAAGAATAGCTTTTGGATTTCTATTTTTTTTTATCTTCAAAAAAGACTGGAATAATAGGATTAAGTGAAAAAGTTTAAGACTTTCTATTACACGTATCCGTTTTCCAAATAACCAGTATTTGAGTATTTTTGTTTGAGCCGTACGAGATGAAATTCTCATATACGGTTCTCAGGGGGGTCCCTTGGTTTACCTATCTCAATAAAGTCTATGATTGGTTCGAAGAACGTCTTGAGATTCAGGCGATTGCCGATGATATAACTAGTAAATATGTACCTCCTCATGTCAATATATTTTATTGTTTAGGAGGAATTACACTTACTTGTTTTTTAGTCCAAGTAGCGACGGGTTTCGCTATGACTTTTTATTATCGTCCAACCGTTACGGAGGCTTTTGCTTCTGTTCAATATATAATGACTGAGGCTAACTTTGGTTGGTTAATCCGATCAGTTCATCGATGGTCAGCAAGTATGATGGTCTTAATGATGATCTTGCACGTATTTCGCGTGTATCTCACTGGTGGTTTTAAAAAACCTCGCGAATTGACTTGGGTTACAGGTGTAGTTTTGGGTGTATTGACTGCATCCTTTGGTGTAACAGGTTATTCCTTACCTTGGGACCAAATCGGTTATTGGGCAGTCAAAATTGTAACGGGTGTACCCGACGCTATTCCTGTAATAGGATCCTCGGTGGTAGAGTTATTGCGCGGCAGTGCTAGTGTGGGACAATCTACCTTGACTCGTTTTTATAGTTTACATACTTTTGTATTACCTCTTCTTACTGCCGTATTCATGTTAATGCACTTTCCAATGATACGTAAGCAAGGAATTTCTGGTCCTTTATAGAGAATATGAATCATAGAGATTTGTAATCAATCATTTTGGGGAGGAGTAATAGTATTTCATTGCTACAAATATGCATTATTTTTCTTTAATAAGACATGTATTTGGATATTTCCCTTCAACTTAACAAAATAAACTGGATTCTTTATTTGACATACACAAATAGTTGAAGGGAACTCTCCGAAAAAAGAATGGATTATGGGAGTGTGTGACTTGAACTATTGATTGGGCCATGCAGATATATGACTTGATCTTATCTGCCACATTTGAATTCACAATGAAATGTGTCTTTGTTCCAACCACCGCGTCAGTCCTCTACAGAGGATAGTCCGGTTCGCTTGAAGATAATCTTTTCTATGATCAGACTCGATCATATCCTGCATGAACAGGCTCCGTAATATCCAGTAAAAAAAGGAATATGATATAATCTAGATTATGTCGTATGTATTTCATTAAACTTACATAGTATGGAAATGCATTCATTTCCTATGCATTGACTCAATTTATGATACTATCGGAGTTAAACAAGTAGATCTAAAGAAAAAGGGGGGTTGTATTCTATTAGTAACAAGTAAATCCTTTCTATGTCAAAAATTCCAAAATTCATTTTTCGAGGTATAACAGGCGAAAGGTTTGAGATCACCCAGAAAGAACTTTTGATTTTTATTTTAAAACTTACTTGGGTGAAAAGCATTTACTTAAAAATAAGAACTTAATTTTTTGCAATGGATAGTTGTAATTTCGGAAAAAAAAGAATTCAACCGTTTTATTACATAGAATCATGATATATGAGTGACTCACATCTACAAAATTTCTATGTCTGCATTCAGTTGGTTTGATTCGTGCTCGAGCCGGATGATGAAAAATTATCATGTCCGGTTCTTTCGGAGGATGGATCTATAAGAATTCACCTATCCCAATAACAAAAAAACCTGACTTGAATGATCCTGTATTAAGAGCAAAATTGGCCAAAGGGATGGGTCATAATTATTATGGCGAACCCGCATGGCCTAATGATCTTTTATATATTTTTCCAGTAGTTATTCTGGGTACTATTGCCTGTAACGTAGGCTTAGCGGTTCTCGAACCATCAATGATTGGGGAACCCGCAGATCCGTTTGCAACTCCTTTGGAAATATTGCCCGAATGGTATTTTTTTCCCGTATTTCAAATACTTCGTACCGTACCCAATAAATTATTGGGCGTTCTTTTAATGGTTTCAGTACCGGCGGGATTATTAACAGTACCTTTTTTGGAGAATGTGAATAAGTTCCAAAACCCATTTCGGCGTCCAGTAGCAACAACCGTCTTTTTGATTGGTACTGTCGTGGCTCTTTGGTTGGGTATTGGAGCAACATTACCTATTGAAAAATCCCTAACGTTAGGTCTTTTTTAAATTGATTCTATTGTAAAATATCATGACAGGTGTATTGTGTTGTGTATCTAGGGAAAATTCACTTTGAAATGACTAATCCCTAGATACATCTATTTCATTTTAGACCTATTCTGAATATATTGATTTGTGCTAAAGATTCAAATTTCATATTTGAACCTTTCTTTTTATAAAAATGAAAGATTCAAAAAAATCCAATAGATTTTCAATTTATAAAAAATGCTTTTCGATTTGTAAAAAGTTGAATAATATATTTTGTAAATCTTCTACGCGAAAATGTTCAATTTTCAGAAGGTCTTCTTGAGTCTTATTCAAAAGTTCAAATAATGTATGTATATTGGACTTTTTAAGACAATTATAGATCCGGGGAGGCAATTCTAATTGGTCAATAAAAGTAGATTTCAATTTCATTTCTTTTTTATTTTTCCTCTTAGTTTATCCTTAACCAATCTATCATGAAAAGTAAAAAGGGGCAAAGTAATTTTGTGTTGATTGTTTTCAAAATTTAAGTTTTCTTCTTCTGCATGTAAAAAAGGAATAAATAAATCAATCAAATTCCGGGAGGCTTCATAAAGTGCTTCCTTAGGAGTTAAACTTCCATTTGTCCATATTTCGAGAACTAGTATCTCTTGTTTTTCATTTCCATTCACATAAGAATGAATACTATGATTTGCATTTCTAACAGGCATGAATACAGCATCTATAGTATAACTTCCATCTTGAATGTTGTTTAGTGTTTTTATACGATATCCCCGCTTTCTATCAATTTCTAATTCAATACACAAATTAATAGGTTCTGTTAGGTTAGCTATATGTTGTGTATTATCAATGACTTCCACCGAAGGTGGTAAAATGATGTCTTGAGCAGTTACATATCCAGGACCTTTGAAACAAATAGACGCGTCCCGAGTTCCATACAGATTACTTCTCAATACAACTTCTTTTAAATTCATTAAAATTTCATGTATTGATTCTTGAATACCTATTATGGTAGAATATTCATGTGGTATTTTCTCAGATTTTGCACGTGTGATACATGTTCCCTCTATTTCTCCGAGCAAAATTCTTCGCATTGCAATGCCTATTGTATCTGCTTGACCTTTCATAAGTGGAGACATAATAAAGCGTCCATAATAAAGACGCTTACTGTCTACCCTTGATTCAACACACTTCCACTGTAGTGTCTGAGTAGATACTTTTAGTTTTTCTCGAATCATAGTAATATATTTTTATGAAACTCTTGATTTAATTGTTTATTTCTCTTGAAATCTTTTTCTTTAATGTTTATTGTTAGTTTTACACACGTCTTTTTTTAGGAGCCCTACATCCATTATGTGACATAGGGGTTACATCCCGTATAACCCTTACTCGTATCCGACTTCCAGAAATAGCTCTTAATGCCGCCTCTCTTCCTAGACCGGGACCTTTTATCATGACGTCTGCTCGTTGCATGCCTTGATCGACTACTGTTTGAATAGCATTTCCCGCTGCGGTTAGAGCGGCAAATGGTGTCCCCCTTCGTGTACCCTTGAATCCACATGAACCGGCGGAGGACCAAGAAATCACCCGACCTCTTACATCTGTAACAGTCACAATGGTATTGTTGAAACTAGCTTGAATATAAATAACCCCCTTTGGTATTTTACGAGGATGCTTACGCGAACCAATACGTCCAGTTTTACGTGAACCAATTTTTGGTATAGATTTTGCCATGTTTTATTATTTAAAAAAATATAAGTCCGAAATATATGGATATATCCATTTCCTGTCAAAAAACGATTCTTGACTATTTTCTAACTAGTTATTCTATTGTATTCTATAATTCAATTAATATAGAATACCATTTTCAAATATCAAGGAATAAGCAATTATATTTATGAGAATACTTATAACTATAGACTCTATTCGAATATAGAATCTATATTTTTAGATAGAGTATTTAATAAAATGGAATATTCATAAGATTTTTTATTTGAATTCTATTACAATTCAAATAAAAAATCTTATGAATAGAAAGACCTTTTTTCTTTTAATATTATCCTTGTCTTTGTTTATGTTTTGGATTGGAACAAATTACTATAAGTCGACCTCGCCTACGGATCAATCGACATTTTTCACAAATTTTACGAACAGAGGCCGCCACTTTCATATTTTTCACTCCTTAAATTAAATTGAATACCAATTTTATAGATTGCAAGAAAATAGGGTTTCCTTACATTTTGAACTTCAAATTGTTCCTCCTAAAAAATATGTTGAAGTTATAAAATAGTCTAATCGAATGGAGTCAGCTATACTTCCTTTTTTGGTCGTATCCAGTGGAAACATAACCTAGAATCTGATTTGAATTCTATTTCTCTAAAGCAACCTCAACCTGCAACATACCCTCAGAAGTTGTTGATTAATTTAATCTTTATTAATTTTCATTTCTATTCTAGTTAAAACCTCTTCCCATATTCACTAATGTATCATGAATAATATTAGAAATCTGTTTTTTCTCTACTCCCTCCATTCACAATACTGTTGGCTCTAAGTTTTTTTCATATAATTCAGATATCGGCAAAATTAGCATTACCATATATAACATAAAACTTCTCCCCCGATTTTTTCTAATCGAGCCTCTCGATCTGTCATTATACCCCTAGAAGTAGAAAGAATTACAATCCCCATCCCTCCTAAAACTTTCGGAATTTTTTGATACTTAGAATATATTCGTAGACAAGGTGTACTGATCCTTTTTAAATTTAAAAAAGTTTTATAGGATCCTTTCCTATTTCTTCTATACCGTAGAGTTAAAACTAAAAAGTATTTGTTGCTTTCTCGATGTTTTCTGACGTTTTCAACAAAACCCTCTCGTAAAAGAATTTTTACAATGTTTTCGGTGATATTAGTAAGTGGTATTTTAACAGTTCTTTTTCTATTCATGTCAGCATTGCGTATCAAGGTTAGTATATCAGCGATAGTATCTTTACCCACGATAGATTTTTGCTCCTTACTTTCGATATAATCAACGTGCTCCCGTTTTTTGATTTTTTATTTTTTGATTCAATCAAATCTCTCATATTGAATATGAGAATAGAATAATACTCTATATGTATAGAAAATTTGATTGTAATTAGGATAATCTAAATATCCGAATATAGAATATTCTAAAACTAAAAAAAGATAGAAATAAAATGAACGAATGACCTATTCGAAACTATATAAATAATCTTATATTGAATTCGAATTCTATTTTTTTATACAAATAGAATTCGAATTTTTATTTTGAATATATTGACTTGAATATAGAATATATATTTCATTCGTATTCTAATCTATTTCCTATTCATTCAAGTCATAAATAATATATCTATATCATGATCTCTTATTATAATACCTCAGGTGCTAATGAAACTATTTTAGTGAAATTTAACTGTCTCAATTCTCGGGCTATTGCGGAAAAAATTCGAGTTCCTTTTGGATTTCCTTCTTTATCAATGAGAACCGCCGCATTATCATCATACTTTATTATTATACCATTACGACGTTTTAGTTCTTTACAAGTACGTACAATTACAGCTCTGATGACTTGAGATCTTTTTAAAGATGAATTTGGCACTGCTTTTTTGATTACAGCAACAACAATGTCACCAATATAAGCATACCTTCGATTACTAGCTCCTATGATTCGAATACACATCAATTCGCGCGCTCCACTATTATCGGCTACATTTAAATAGGTTTGAGGTTGAATCATATCCTTTTTTCTTATCTTTCAGTTTCAGTCAAAAAGTTGAAGTAAAAAAAATATTTTGTGTTCAAAAAAAAAACGGAGAATTGCCTTTTTTCATACTAAAGATCTCTTTCGTTCTAATGATTATTCGGAAAGAATAAATTGAGTTCGTATAGGCATTTTGGATGCCGCTATTGAAATCGCCTTTCTAGCGATATTTTCTGGAACACCTCCCATTTCATAAAGTATTTTGCCGGGTTTAACAACAGCTACCCAATATTCGGGCGATCCTTTTCCCGAACCCATACGCGTTTCGGTAGGTCTTACTGTAACAGGTTTGTCTGGAAATATGCGTACCCATATTTGTCCACCCCGGCGAACATTTCGTGACATTGCCCGTCGACCCGCTTCTAGTTGTCTAGATGTGATCCAAGCGGGCTCAAGTGCCTGAAGAGCATATTTTCCGAAGCAAATTTGACTACCACGAGAGGCTTTTCCTTTCATTCTTCCTCTATGATGTTTGCGGAATCTCGTTCTTTTTGGGTTATAGTTGATGGTTATTTCTCAATTCCATCTCTATTACAGAACCGTACATGAAATTTTCACCTCATACGGCTCCTCGCGAATAAATCGATTGAAAAATATTGAATCGAGAAAATAATAATAATTACTACAATAAGATACAACAGAATATAATCGCGGGATTTTTTTACATTTAATAGAATCTATTGATCTATTAGAAATTTTTTAATCTTGCTTTGATATATAACGAAATATGTATTCTTATAGACCATTTTTGCTATCCGTATCTAACTAGCTAATATTTTTGGATATAAGGTTCTAACGAATCAGTATTTTTCTTTTTTTATTATTATCATATTGGATTGGCAAAAATTTATCAATTCCAAAAAAATCCACATTTTCGCGGGCGAATATTTACTCTCTCATTATAAATTGATTAAATTGAAGATGTAATGTAGGGTTAGTCCACAACTCCTCAAAAAAGAATGAATTCTTAGTTCCTTCCGCCATCCCATCTAATGAATCAGTAAGATTTCAAATTTTAATATAATCTTTTGTATTCACAGGTTCCGTCGTTCCCATCGCTTTTCAATTTATGGTTAGGTCTAAATTCTACAATGGAGCCTCTTTAATTAAGAAGATTCCATTTTTTTTATTTTCTTATTTTCTTCTTTTTTGTTGAATCAACCTTCTCAGTTTTCTTGATTCGTGGCTCTTGATTCGTTTATTCTAGGAATATATTCATCCATATATGGATGAATTTTGAAGATTGATGCTTTATTACACTACTTTTTATGAGATGACCCATAGACCTTTACATAGGAGAATTCTATATCATTGATATCCTTTTTCTATCTTTCTTTCACCCCTTCATTTATCTGTATATTCTTATTGCTTTACAACTAATAATCTTATTTTTTTTTTTTTATTTCAGTTGCTATAATTATATCATCACATAGATCCTTATTTTGATTTTAGATTTTCGGCGGTTCTTTATATCCAGATAATGGGAAGCGATGAGTAGGTTATTTATTCTTTAGTAATTAATTCGACGAATTTTTGTAGAAAATTAACCACTCTAAAAAAAAACCAACGAGTCACACACTAAGCATAGCAACTCCTTCATTATAAAATGATTAATTAATTTTTTTTTATTTAATCTTTTAAAATTTTTCATTTCTTCTTTGAGAATAAGAACGTAGTAAGAATTCGTCATTTTTTGTTTTCTCAAAAGATGGAACGTATATAAGGAAAAGGTTATTAGTCGTTGTTTATAAATATCCAAACTTTGATTCCTAAGACCCCATAAATAGTTCGAACTGGATAGGAACAATAATCAATTTTAGCTCGAATGGTTTGTAGAGGAATCCTACCTTCTCTGATCCATTCGACACGTGCAATTTCGTTTCCGTCGATGCGTCCCGCAATTTGTATTTGAACTCCTTTTGTACCTGCACCTGCCTCTTCAGCGAATTTTTTTATAGTTTTTTGCATTGCTTTACGAAACGGAATTCTATTCTTTAATTGTCTGGCTAGAAATTCTGCAAGAATATTCGGGTCTCTATAAACATTTGGAATTCTTGTAATTTCAATGTTGATTTGTCGGTTCACACAATTTATTTTTTTTTGCACATTAGTATGTAATTCTTCCATTCTTTCAGGGTTATCCTCTATTACTAAGTTTGGGTTTGGAAGTCCCATATTGATTATCACGTGAATCAGATCGCGTGTTTTTTTAATCTTTATTCGTCCAATTCCCTCGCCATCGACAGCGGTTGTTGTTTTTTGTATTTTTTGTATATAATTCTTGATACAATCTCGTATTATTTTATCTTCTTTTACATTCTCGGAATAAATTCTTGGTTGTGCAAACCAAATAGAATCATGACTTTGAGTTGTACCAAGTCTGAAACCAAGCGGATGTATTTTTTGTCCCATAATCCCTCACTACTCTATATAAAATAATACGTCTGATATATATTTTTTTTAATATCTTGATATATCTTTTTTTTTTCTGCAAAGCATTAGTTCTATTATAATAACCCTTTCAATTTTTGAATATTATTAATTACCATTCACGCTTTGTGTTGTGAATAGACAAAAATATTTTTTGAACAAAGGGTTATATTTCTCTGTATTGGTTCTATTTTCACGAAAAAATAAAATCTGTTTTTTTGATTGCAGAATAATACAATTCTTTTTGAGTAATTTATTAATTAATATTTATTAATGACTATTACTAAATTTATGTTAAAATGAATGTTAACGACGAGATCTATTATCATTTTTCGCAAAGCCTCGGAAGTTTCGAGTAGGTGAAAATTCTCCCAATTTATGGCCTACCATACGATCTGTTATATAAATAGGTAAATGCTCTTTTCCATTATGGATAGCAATGGTATGCCCAATTCATTGTAGGTAGAATGGTAGATCTTCTGGACCAAGTTATTATTATTTCTTTTTCTCCTTTTGTGTTAAGCTTATTTATTTTTCTTAATAAATGATTCGCTACAAAAGGATTTTTTTTTAGTGAACGTGTCATAGTTAATTATTCCTCTTAAAATTTCTAAAAAAATGAATTTTTTCTCTTATATTTTTTATTTTATTTCCAATTTTAAAATATAGAATCTCTTTTTAAAATATAGAATCTCTCAAAAAAGAAATTCATAGAATGTCATAGTCAATCGCTCTTTTCTTTTGTAAAGACGAAGAAACAAATTCTATTTTCTCTACTATCCACTATTGACTACGGCGACGAAGAATCAAATTATCACTATATTTCTTCCTTTTTCTAGTTCTTCTTCCAAGTGCAGGATACCCCCAAGGAGTTGAGGGTTTTTTTCTACCAATTGGGGCCCCTCCCTTCACCACCCCCATGTGGATGGTCTACAGGGTTCATAACTACCCCTCTTACTACAGGACGCTTGCCTCGCCAACGTTTAGCTCCGGCTCTGCCCCAAACTTTTCTGGTTTACCCCAACATTCCCCACTTGTCCGACTGTTGCTGAGCAGTTTTTTGATATCAAACGGACCTCTCCAGAAGGTAATTTTAATGTTGCTGATTTACCCTCTTTTGCAATCAGTTTCGCTACAGCACCCGCTGCTCTAGCTAATTGTCCCACCCTTTCCAAGTGTTATTTCTATGTTATGTATGGCCGTGCCTAAGGGCATATCGGTTGAAGTAGATTCGTCTTTTTGATCAATCAAAACCCCTTCCCAAACTGTACAAGCTTCTTCCAAAGCATACGGCTTTCTGGATGTAGATTAGAATATCTATACAGATACATCTTATATATCGTTTATTTCGTATATTATATATGACATAACGAAGTACCATACCACATGAGTGGATATATAATATACGAATCCAAATATTCTGAATGACTCATGTTATGATCTTCTACATCCTAGGTCTTTCTGTTCCTTCATCTGGCTTATGTTCTTCATGTAGCATTCAGACCGAATGACTCTATGAATTACGTTGCTACTTAGACATAGTACGGGTAACGTAGGAGACATTTCTATTTTTCCCGGGGGAATCCTTAGAATTACCACTGCTTAGCTTTCAATTTGCCTTTGACCATCAAATGAAATGTGAATAATCTGTGTCTTCCCCCCTTTGTTTTTTGAAACGAGGAGCACTTCGTGTTCTGTCGGTGCTTGAAACAATTTTGTCTTCTCCATATTACTATATCTCTAGGGTCAATAATTTTATATTAGGAACTACTGAACTCAATCACTTGCTGCTGTTACTCTTCAGTTTTCTGTTGAAGTCTATCCTGTAGAGGTACTCAAATAGGATCAGTGATCGATTTCTAGGTTTCGCCTTAAACCTAATTGGTTTACTTCCAATTACGTAAATTCTATAGTTCAAACCGCACTCAAACTCAAAGGTAGGGCATTTCCCATTTTTATAGGAACTTTTGTACCATAAATAATGGTATCTCCAATTATAGCCCCTCTGGGGTGTAAAATATATCTTTTCTCACCATCCCCATAGTGTATGAGACAAATGTGTGCATTTCGATTAGGGTCGTATTCGATAGTTACAATTCTACCATATATGTCTTTTTCATTGCGTCGAAAATCAATTTTACGGTATAGACGCTTATGACCTCCCCCTCTATGCCCTGCGGTAATGATTCCTCTGGCATTACGCCCTTTACCACAATGATGCTGTCCAGAAATCAAACGATTTCGTGAATTGGATTTCACTTGACTGTTTACGGCTCCATTGCGTGTGTTCGGGCTAGAAGTTTTGGATAAATGTATCGCCATGTTATGAAGTGTATTTTTATTTAAGTTATTTTCTTTCTAAGAGGTGGAATAGAATAACCCGGTTGAAGCGTAATGATCATACGTTTGTAATGCCTTGTATGTCCCATAATAGGTCGTATTCTTCTACCCTTTATTGGGATTGCGAGTTGATTCATAGTTCTTACCTTGACACCAAAGAAGAGTTCGACCCAATGTTTTCTTTCTGTCCTAGTTAATCCTGATTTGACATGAAAAGTATATTGATTTTTTCGAAATAACGAAAATTTAGTGTCTGTAAATACTGCAGATTTTATTCCATTCATAAATCTATTTTATTCTTTCTTCCCGATGAGTTCTAGTCTCACTAAAAATACTAGTTTTTTTACTGTTCATTTATTAAAATTTGAATATACCACACCAATTTGTTATGTATGGATGATGAGATTCCATTGATACAGATCCAAGTCTCGATTCAAATACTACTAAGCTAAGAGGTCTACTACAGATCAGAAATTATTTAAATAGAATAAATAAAGAAATTCTTTCTTTATTTAGAAATGATCAATTCTTGAAGTTTCTATTATTTTCAAATTCAATTATTAAAGAAAGAAGAAGATGTTTCTTTTTTTCTTTGGAGGAAATTGGAAAAGAAAGAAATAGCCAATATAGTCAAGATAATCATGTATTTACAAAATAATGTCTCAATTCATCCTATATTCATCCGATGGAGGATGTGATAGGATTGCAAAGGAGAAACTTTTGACAGTTCAAAATAATAATTCATGATTAAAAATATAGTTTTTAGGGGAGATATTTCTATTGGCATGCATCCAGTAGGAATTGAACCTACGACTTCGCCAATTATGAGTTGGGCGCTTTAACCATTCAGCCATGGATGCTTCGAGGGAACAACCCTCCGACTTGATGAATAACCAAATTTCAATTGAAGTGAAATCTTTTGGATAAATCAATAGAAATACATACATAAAGAAATAACTTAATAGAAATACATACATAAAGAAATAACTTAATAGAAATACATACATAAAGAAATAACTTAATAGAAATACATACAAAATAAATAACTTAATAGAAATACATACATAAAGAAATAACTTAATAGAAATACATACATAAATAAATAACTTAATAGAAATACATACATAAAGAGATAAATTATTTTTAATTTTTTAAGGAGGATCCTATGAAGAACAATCAATTCCACTTTTGGATTTTCGAATTGCGAGAAATTTTTAGAGAGAGCAAGAATTGTGCCTATTTCTTAGATTCCTGGACGCAATTCAATTCAGCGATATCTGTCATTCACATTTTTTTGCATCAAGAGAGTTTGATAAAAGTCTTAGACTCCAGAATTTGGAGTATCCTAGTTTCACGTCAGTCACAGGGTTTAACAAGAAATCGATATTTCACGATCAAGAATGTAGTACTTTTTGTAGTAGCGATCCTTCTATATCGTATTAACAATCGAAGGATGATCGAAAAAAAAAATATTTATTTGACAGGGCTTCTTCCTATACAAATAAATTCCATTGGATCCGGCAATGATAGATTGGAAGACTCAAAAGATTCGTTCAATATCAATAGGTTGATTGTTCCGCTCCTGTCTGGTCCAAAAGAAAAAAAGATCTCTGATCGCTCTTTTTTCTCGGACAGATGGTCCCAACTTCATCTGGATTTGAATCCTACTGAGAAGTCCGCTCAAGATCTTCAATTATTAAAGAAAGAAGAAGATGTTTCTTTTGTTCTTTGGAGGAAATTGGAAAAGAAAGAACTAGCCAATATAGTCAAGATAATCATGTATTTACAAAATAATGTCTCAATTCATCCTATTTCATCCGATGGAGGATGTGATAGGATTGCAAAGGAGAAACTTTTGACAGTTCAAAATAATAATTCATTCTTGACCAAAAATCTAGTTTTTGGTTTATTTCATCTATTCCATGACCAGAATAGGGGGGGGTACTTGTTACATCGCAATTTTCAATCAGAAGAGAGATTTCAAGAAATGGCAAATCTATTTAATCTATCACTAACTAAGCCGGATCTGGTCTATCGTAATGGATTCTCTTTTTCTATTGGGTTTTCTGAACCGGAATCAAAAAAAAAATCTTTATTGGTTCTGCCGCGGCTTTTTGACGAAGCGAATGAATCTTTTTATCCAAAGATCATAAAAAAATGGGTCCAGACCTCTTGTGGGAATTATTTTCAAGGTAATCGATTCAATCGCAACTTCGAATATGTACTTCAAAGGTATCAAAATGATATTCTGAATCATAGACCTATAAGGAAACACACGATCAATCAACGTTTCTCAAATTTGAAAAAGAGTCAGAAGAAATGCTTTGATCGTCTTATTTTTATTTATCGAACCGAGAGATCCGTGAATAAGGATCCAAATGCATATAAATACAAATGGTCCAAGGGGAGCACAAATTTCCAGGAACATTTGGACCATTTCATTTCTGAGCAGAATAGTCGTTTTAAAGTAGTGTTCGATCGATTACATATGAATGCATATTCGATTGATTGGGCTGAGGTTATCGACAAAAAAGATTTTTCTAAGTCACTTTGTTTCTTTTTGTCCAAGCTTCTTCCCTTTTTGTCTAACTCACTTCCTTTTTTCTTTGTGAGTTTCGGGAGTATGCCCGTTCATAGGTCCCAGAGCCATATGTATGAATTGAAACGTATGAATGATGCACTCGAGAATCAGTTGTTAGAATCAATAGGTCTGCAAACGGTTCATTTGAAAAAAAGGAAATCCCCATTATTGGATGACTATTATACTTCTCAAAAATCAAAATTCTTGATCAATGAAGGAACAATATTACCATTTTTGTTCAATAAGATACCAAACCAAGACAATTGGCTGAATCCTGTGAAATGTTTTCATAGAAGTTCATTGATTTCCTCTTTTTATAAAGTAAATCGACTTCGATTCTTGAATAATCAATATAACTTCTCTTTCGATTGTAACAAAAGATTCTCTTTTTATGGGGAAAGGTCCTATAATTATGATTTTATGTATGAACAATTCCTCAATGTCTTGTTCATTCGAAAGAAAAGATTTTCTTTGTGCGGCGGTAAAAAAACACATGCTTTTTTGGACAGAGATACTATTTCACCAAGCGAGTTAGAGGTCTCTAAGATATTGAGACCGAAGAATTTTCCGCAAAGTGGTGATGACGGATATGACTTGTACAAATCTTTCCATTTTTCAACTCGTGTTCCTAGATCTATTTACTCGATCGCGGACATTTCTGGAACACCTCTAACAGAGGAAGAAATAGTGAATTTGGAAAGAACTTCTTGTCAACCTCTTTCCCCTATTAATTTATCTGATTCAAAAAGGAAGAACTTGCATCAGTATCTTGATTTCGATTCAAACATGGGTTTGGGTTTGCTTGACACTCTATATTCTGAAAAATTTATACCATCCGCAAAGAGGAAAAAACCTCTAAAAAAATTCCTTGGAAAAGGGCAGATGTATAGAAACTTTCAAAGAAAAAGAAAAAGAAAGAGTATTTCTTCAATTCTCTCCAAATTGAAGCGATTACGCCCGTATATAATACCGTTGTTCCTTACCTGGACAGGGCACAAATATATCAATTTCATATTTTTAGATACTCTTTCAGACCTATTTGCGATACTAAGGAGGAGTCCTCAATTTAAAAAATTTGTATCTATTTGGCAGAATATTATGCATGGATCCAAGGGAAGTCTTCGGAAAAAACTGTGGGGAATTCTTCGGAAAAAACTGTGTCTTTCACAACGGAATCGTATAAGTGAGATTTCGAGTAAGTCTTTCCATAATTTTCTTGTAGACATGTACAAAGATCTTTTTCACACAAATAATGAGTCACCATTCATATCGACACATCTGAGATCACGAAATATTGAGGAGTTCCTGGTTTCAATCCTTTTACTTCTTCTTGTTACTGGATATCTTGTTTATACACATCTTTTCTTTGTTTCTCGCTTCTCTAATGAGTTACAGACAGAGTTCGAACAGGTCAAATCTTTGATGATTCCATCCTACATCATTGAATTGCGAAAACTTCTGGATAGGTATCCTCTATCAGAACAAAATTCTTTCTGGTTAAAGGATATCTTTGGAGTTGCTCGAGAACAATTAGGAAATTTTTTAGAAGAAAGGCGAGGTTGGCCTTCTGGCGGGGACATCCCAAGGGGTGGTGGTTTCGCTGATGGGGTCAAATCCATACGTTCGAAGAAGAACGGTTTTAATCTCATGGATCTCATAAGTATTATACCAAATCCCATCAATCGAATCGCGTTTTTGAGAAATACGAGACATTTAAGTCATACAAGTAAAGCAATCTATTCATTGATAAGGAAAAGAAAAAACATGAATAGTAATTGGATTGATGATAAAATAGAATCCTGGATCTCGACTAGTGATTTCATTGCTGATAAAGAAAGAGAATTCTTGGTTCAGTTCTCTACCTTAACGACAGAAAAAAGGCTGGATCAAATTTTATTGAGTCTGACTAATAGTGATCAGTTATCAAAGAATAACTCTGGTTATCAAATGATTGAGCAACCAGGAACAATTTACTTACGATATTTAATTGACATTCATAAAAAGGATCTGATGAATTATGAGTTCAATACATCCTGCTTAGCAGAAAGACGGGTATTCCTCGCTCATTATCAGACAATCACTTATTCAGAAATCCCGTGTGGGGCTAGTTGTTTGGATTTATCATCTCATGGGAAACCCTTTTCGCTACGCTTAGCCCTATCCCCTGCTAGGGGTATTTTAGTGATAGGTTCGATAGGAACTGGACGATCCTATTTGCTCAAATATCTAGCGACAACCACCTATGTTCCTTTCATTACAGTATTTGTAAACAAGTTCCTGGAGAACTTTCCTAAGGGTTTTGATAGTGATGATAGTGAGGACGACATGTTTGATGAAAGAGAGGGTACCATTTACAGTCTTTTACCTAATAACGAGGGTAGTTGCTATAATTCCGAGAATTATGAAAGGGATGATAGTGACGATCTCGACCGTAAGCTTGATAGCCAGTTGAAGTTTCTAAGTATGGAGGATCCGGTATCTAGCGATCTGATGGAAATAGACCGGTTTTATCTCACGCTTCAATTCGAATTAGCAAAAGCAATGTCTCCTTGCATAATTTGGATTCCAAACATTCATGATCTGGATAGGAATGAGTCGAATGACTTATCGCTGGGTATATTAGTGAACTCTCTTTCCAGCGATTCGGAAAAAGGTTCTACTAGAAATATTCTAGTTATTGCTTCTACTCATATTCCAAAAAAAGTAGACCCTGCTTTAATAGCTCCGAATAAATTAAATACATGCATTAAGATACGAAGGCTTCTTATTCCACAACAAAGAAAGCACTTTTTTACTCTTTCATATACTAGGGGATTTCACTTGGAAAAGCAAATATTCGATACTAATGGATTGGGGTCTATAACTCTGGGTTCTAATGTACGAGATCTTGTAGCACTTACTAATGAGGCGCTATCGATTAGTATTATACAAAAGAAATCTATTATAGACACTAATATAATTAGATCTGCTCTTCATAGACAAACTTGGGATTTTAGATCTCAGATAAGATCGATTCAGGATCATGGGATCCTTTTTTATCAGATAGGGAGGGCTGTTTCACAAAATCTACTTCTAAGTAATTGCTCTATCGATCCTATATCTATCTATATGAAGAAGAAATCATGTGCAGAGGGGGATTCTTATTTGTACAAATGGTACTTCCAACTTGGAACAAGCATGAAGAAATTAACCATACTTCTTTATCTTTTGAGTTGTTCTGCCGGATCGGTCGCTCAAGATCTTTGGTCTCTACCCGGACCTAATGAAACAAATGATGGGATCACTTCTTATAGACTCCTTGAGAATGATTCTGATCTAGTTCATGGGCTATTAGAAATAGAAGGTGCTCTGCTGGAACCCTCACAGACAGGAAGTCGGTTTGATAATGATGGCGTGACATTGCTTCTTCGGTCCGAACCAAGAAATCCCTTAAATATGATTCAAAATGGGTCTTCTTCTATCGTTGATCAGAGATTTCTCTATGAAAAATATGAATCGGGGTTCGAAGAAGGGGAAGGAGTCTTCGACCCGCAACCGCTAGAGGAGGATTTATTCAATCACATACTTTGGGCTCCGAGACTGTGGCGCCCTTGGGGCTTTCTCTTTGACGAAGGGTCCAATGAATTGAGATTTCCCTATTGGGAAGGGTCATTTCAGGACAAACCGATCCTTGATGATTATGATGAAGAGGGTAAGCTTCAAGAGAATGATAATGATTCGCAGTTCTTGCAGGATGGAATCATGCAGGACCAGACACGAGCGAGATTTTCCAACGAACAGGGCTTTTTTCGAATAAGCCAATTCATTTGGGACCCCGCAGATCCACTGTTTTTGCTATTCCAAGAGGATCCTTTTGGATCTGTATTTTCACATCAAGAATTTTCTCCAGATGAAGAGATGTCAAGGATACTTTTGACTTCCCAAACCCAAAAAATTGATTGGAAATATCTAAATAAACCCTGGTTTAGGAAGAATATGCAAGAACAGAATTTCAAATTGTTGATTGATCGCCAGAGATGGTTTAGAACCAATAGTTCAGTATCAAATGAATTTTTTCGTTCTAATACTCTATACGAGAGTTATCAATATTTATCAAATCTGTTCCTATCTAACGGAACCCTATTGGCTCAACTCACAAAGACATTGTTGAGAAAAAAATGGCTTTTCCCAGACGAGATGGTTGTGACTATCTGTTCCAATAACGAACGATTGGTTTAACTGAATAATGAAATGAAATAAAATAGATACTTTCTTTCTCGTCGTCTCAAGTCGATATTAGGGGATCTTCTCAATTGAAAGATCCCCTAATATTGATAATCCATATTGCCGTTGACCGAGCCTACTTGTTTTGAAGCAAATAAAGAGATCCACAGGGTAATTTGTCCTATTCAGATATTCACGACCAATAAGTACAGAATTTTCTTTCTTTTCGGATAGGTCCTGTCCTGAAAGGAGAAAGAAGGTTGACATAGGCGGCTATTTTGGAATTCACCCGACCCGAGCGTACAGTACCCATTTTTTTGAATGTCGAGTGCCAAAGTCATTGAATGGGTAAGTCACCAATCTCCAAAATCAAATATATAATGTACTTTATCCGTTGGTTTAGGGTAGGGGGATTGCAGGTGGGACGATTTCAAAATGTACTCTCCATTCATTAGATAGATAAGATCACCAAAACTTCGTGATCTGCTGGCGAACTTATTCCAATTCAATTTCAATAAGAGATCTCAATATTATGCCTTGAAGAGGACTCGAACCTCCACGCTGTTTAGCACGAGATTTTGAGTCTCGCGTGTCTACCATTTCACCACCAAGGCATCCTTAAAGGGAATCATATTCTCTGAATATGATATCTATCTTATGTCATGGTTCAATATTATTATACTCCAATTCTAATCCAATTGCAACATAGAATACAACATCTCAATACAACATCTCAAATAGAATACGGTACGATATAATACAGTATCTACTATATAATACAGCGAGAATAGAATTCTTTCTCGACTAAATAAATATAGCTTCTAGATGAACGAAAAGCTAGTCAAAGGGTCGATTCAAAATTGGTAGACGCTACGGACTTAATTGTATTGAGCTTTGGTATGGAAACATAGTAATGTTAAGTGAAAACATAACATAATATAATACAGCATCTACTATATAATACAACATGTACTATATAATACAGCGAGAAGAGAATTCTTTCTCGACTAAATAAATATAGCTTCTAGATGAACGAAAAGCAAGTCAAACGGGGGATATGGCGAAATTGGTAGACGCTACGGACTTAATTGTATTGAGCCTTGGTATGGAAACATATTAAGTGAAAACTTTCAAATTCAGAGAAACCCTGGAATTTTAAATGGGCAATCCTGAGCCAAATCCTTCTTTCCGAAAACAAAAAACTAAAAGTTCAGAAAAAAAGGATAGGTGCAGAGACTCAATGGAAGCTATTCTAACAAATGGAGTTGACAACATTCAATTGATTAATGAAGATTTCTAACTTCTATTTGTAAATTGTAACTATTTTTTTTAGTTTTGATTCGATCACAATTGAAACGAAACATTAGAATCAAATCAATTCCAACTGGAAGAAAAAATGGTGAATATTCATTGATCAAATCAGTCACTCCACCAAAATATGATGGATCTTTTGAATAACTGATTAATCAGACGAGAATAAAGATAGAGTCCCATTCTACATGTCAATACCGACATCAATGAAAGTTTTAGTAATCGGAAAATCCGTCGACTTTAAAAATCGTGAGGGTTCAAGTCCCTCTATCCCCAAAAGCCGATTGAATTTGCTCATTTTTATGGCCCTTTCCCTTTTTTTTATTGAGTTGACATAGACTCAAGTAATTTCCCTCAAATTAGGATGGTGCGTCAAGATTTTAATGGTCGGGATAGCTCAGCCGGTAGAGCAAAGGACTGAAAATCCTTGTGTCACCAGTTCAAATCTGGTTCCCGGCGACTCATTATGTATGAGTATCTATTCCCATATTTCTTTTCAAAAATCAAATATTGGGAGGAATAGATACATATTGATTAGTGGTCTTAATAATTATACATAATTTATCTAGGCGTACAGAGATATGCTCTTTCTAGATGAAAAAGGAATCGATGTATATTCTAGGAAGTATGAAAATGAATGATTCTAGTTTGTTTCGATTTTTTCTGCGATGCAATAACAAATGTTCATATTTCAACAATATTCAAATGGTTCAATTAGTTGGTTGAACGACCAAAAAGTTGAATCTAGCGGAGTTCATAGGTAAGAATAGTCAAAATTTATCTGAGATACATTATCAAAAAATATGGTCCATTTCTTTGTATTTTCTTTGATCGTACTTTTTTATTTTTCGTAGCCAGATATCTACTACTCGGAATAGAAATAGGAAATTGACTTCATTATAGGACTTATTAATCTTGTAAAATTTTTAAAATATCGGGTAGGAGTCCATGCCGCTACTCGGACTCGAACCGAGATGCTCTAGCACTGCTTCCTAAGAGCAGCGTGTCTACCAATTCCACCATAGCGGCTGACTCGAAATCATAATAACCAATTATTTAGTCAAAGTCAATAGTCAATCGTCGAGATTGAATAAAGTGAAGTCCAATATTTATTGAGTACATTTCTTTACTATTTACTAAACATTTATTCTCAATTGATAATAAAACTAAATTGATAATAAAAAGTAATTTAATTTTTTCTAATATATAATAGAAATGAATATAGAAATATATGATATATGCAATCATTTTCAATTTAAGTAAAAGAAGTTTTGATTTCTATATTCATTTCTTTTTTTTTTTCCCATGCAGTGTTCGTTTTCAAATTTAACAACGACGGGGAATGGGTTTTTTGTAGTTTATACTTTTTCAAATAAAAAAAAGCACTGTTGAAACTAGAACTATCTAGTTCTGACTTCAATCCAGTAATGAAAAAGAAATTTTTTTTGTAGTTGCTTATGAATCATTCAAAAAAATGAGATTATATATATATCTAGAATATATTCTATATTCTATAATATAGAATATATTCTAAATATATGTTTATATATGTTTCATATTCTATAATAGTATTAGTATAAAATGACTATTAAAGAATACTCTTTGAATCGAGCTAATTCAGATTATTCTCGTCCAACATTTGTATTTCTTACAATAACACAACTTTTTTTTTGATTACGTGGCAAAAAAGGGCGAGGTTTTGTATTTATTACAATACGATAACTTTTTGAGGTACCTGTCAAAATAGAGTCAGCTAATGAAAAGGCTTTCAATGCTGCCTTATATCCTTTTTTTTTCCAAAAATTCTTACGAATTTTTTTTTTTGATATAGAAGTGCGTTTTTTTGGAACTGGCATACAATTAGTATAGTTTTTTCGTTGCTATAGTTTGATGTGAAAGACATTTGTTCTGTAAATGAAAACGAATTATTCTGTAATTAGCCGTATGTCTTATCTATCTAAATTAACTCTTTCTCTTTTTTTCCATCGAAAGGTAAAGTAAAAACATTGAATATTATAAACCTTTTCCAAATTTTTCATAGATAATAGATATATATGGATCTCTTTTTATTGTAATGTAAAAGAATCAATTAGTTCAAAAAGGAACTAATGTTTCTGAATAAAAAAAAAGTATTATTTTATATTATATTATTTTTCTAATGTATATCAAAATAAACAAATGTTGTTAGTTTTGGTGTACTGATTTATCCTCATCCTCGCTCTATAGATAAGAGATAAAAATTTTTATTTTACAATTATTAATAGTCATTTTTCTTAATATATATATAAATTAAAAAATAACTAACCTAACATAGGAATTAATAGTAATATTAATTAATGAATATATTACTGAAATACTGAAAATAATAATTATTATTTATTTTTTTCACTAGGAATTTTGTTATTGGCCAGTTTTGACTTTGTACTTTCCAATATGGGGACCATTGTGCAAAGATTCAGAACAATTAAGAATATCCAATTCTATTTCTATATCCACTTTTTTATTAACCGAGCCCCTTTACAAAAGATATAAAACAAACGAATAAGAAACAAAATTCATCAAGAATCTAAATATTTTTTATTCTTTCTTTTTGTATGGAATATACACATCAATCTTCATGGATCATACCTTTCATCCCTCTTCCAGTTCCTATTTTAATAGGGGTAGGACTTCTACTTTTTCCCACGGCAACAAAAAATCTTCGCCGTATGTGGGCTTTTCCTAGTATTTTCTTGTTAACCATAGTTATGATTTTTTCGATCGATTTATCTATTCAGCAAATCGAGAATAGTTCTATCTATCAATATGTATGGTCTTGGACTATAAATAATGATCTTTCTTTAGAATTTGGCTACTTGATCGATTCACTTACTTCTATTATGTCAATATTAATCACTACTGTTGGTATTCTGGTTCTAATTTATAGTGATAGTTACATGTCTCATGATCAAGGGTATTTGAGATTTTTTACTTATATGAGTTTTTTTAATACTTCAATGTTAGGATTAGTTACTAGTTCAAATTTGATACAAGTTTATATTTTTTGGGAATTGGTTGGAATGTGTTCTTATCTATTAATAGGTTTTTGGTTCACACGTCCTATTGCGGCAAATGCTTGTCAAAAAGCGTTTGTAACGAATCGTGTAGGGGACTTTGGTTTATTATTAGGAATTTTAGGTTTTTATTGGATAACCGGTAGTTTGGAATTTAGGGATTTATTTCAAATATTCAAGAACTTAATTTATAAGAATGAGGTAAATATTCTTTTTGTTACTTTGTGTGCCCTCTTGTTATTTTGTGGTTCAGTTGCAAAATCTGCCCAATTCCCTCTTCATGTATGGTTACCAGATGCTATGGAAGGTCCTACTCCTATTTCTGCTCTTATACATGCTGCTACTATGGTAGCAGCAGGAATTTTTCTTGTAGCTCGACTTCTTCCTCTTTTCATAGTTATACCCTCGATAATGAGTGGAATAGCTTTGATAGGTATAATAACAGTAGTATTAGGAGCTACTTTAGCTATTGCTCAAAAAGATATTAAGAAAAATTTAGCCTATTCTACAATGTCTCAATTGGGTTATATGATGTTAGCTTTAGGTATGGGCTCTTATCGAGCCGCTTTATTTCATTTGATTACTCATGCTTATTCAAAAGCATTGTTGTTTTTAGGATCTGGATCCATTATTCATTCAATGGAAGCTATT